AACTTAGAATTTATTATCTTAGGGCTTCCAGTACTTTCACATTAGATGGCTTATTTTCTAAACTGATTTTATTTTCTAACGAACGGCCGATATCGGATTTGTGGTCCTTCAGGGCAGCAGAGATCTATAAATCCAATGCCAAAAGAATTAGATGTGGAGGGGGGGGGGGGGAAGTGCCCCGAGAAACCCATTTTCACTGGTTAAGCGCCGGATAATCTAAATTTGATGTAATGAAAGCCACTTGTTTAAAATGTGGAGCAAGATGAATAGATTGCAATTGATAAATTAATGCCTAAAGCTTAAGAATAAAATGTACAATTTTATTTCTGGTAACATGTTTTTATATTTACTGTTTTCAAGAAATCCTTCAAAAGTGATTGTTATTGAAGTTCATCATTAGTAATAATTAGTAACCTTTTCTGCAGCTACACCAATGTAGATAGATGTGCACGTTACCTGTAGGTTCGCTAACAAAATAGTGATATTATAAACAACATGAGATTAAGAAGTTGTCTCTCTTCACGGATAGGGGTGATTCTCATGTAAAGTTATCCACATAAAATGGCTCGAATACATGAGAGTCTTCTATGTAACATAAAGCTATGTAAAAAATATAGACAGTAATCTTTCTGTGGAAGTCTTAGAGAAATGACACACACATATACAAAAACCAGATCTACTATCATCTTGTAGCGTGCTACTTAAAACGTGAAAACCCATAGGCAAGCTCGCGCTATTATGTCCTAATTTTTATCCCACCCGAAGTAATTGTGTGTATTTTATATGTTTGTTTGTTTGTTTGAAGTTAAGCACAAAGCTGCACAATGGGCTATCTGTGCTCTGGCCACCACGGGTATCGAAACCCGGTTTCTAGCGTTGTAAGTCCGCAGACATACCGCTGTGCCACTGGGGGCATGTATTTTGTATAAATGCTAGAGTCAAAAGAATAATTGATTAGTAATGGATAAGAACCAGTAACGAATATTGTTGATTCCGGATTTTCTGAACATTCTTATAAGTCGAAGAAACCTAAAATGTATCATAAAATTTAGCTCCCCCCATCTACGGATTGGGTACTCAAAATACACAATTTCACAACAGATCATATCCTGTATTATTTCACGTAGTGTATGAATTTATTTGTTTGTTTGTTTGTCTGCAAACTCCTTTCAAAGCGTTGGAGCTAGCAGGATCAAATTCGGAAAAAGGACTCGGGGTGACACAAATGTGTATGTTTTGGCCTTTGTCTAAATGGTGTAGGCCCCAACCAAAGGAGGCTAAAACACGCCCCTAAGATCACCCAGGCATGATCAGGGTCTATGAATAAGGTTGTAGGGTCGCTGAACTCGAATTTAGCTTCGAAATAGCTAGCGAGACTAACGTTGGTTCTGAGATACCACGAGCTGGTGTCCTAACAAGATAGTTCCATACTTACAAGTTAGTGGGACCAGCCTTGGTTCTCAAGTACCACGATCTGGTAATTTTTGGGGACGAATCCTCTTGGAATACTGACAGAAGTATTGGGGATAATGGAGGAACTTGATCGGTACACTGGGGCCTCTGTGAATTATAAGGGGGCCTTTATTTAAACCCCGCAGTGGAGCGTGGTTATTTAATGTAATAATAAAGTTCTGAGAATCTGACCTTAAAAGTATAGCTCTGTTGACGTCACGTATTTTCCCTAAAGTAATAACTAAACAAGGATAAATAAAAACATGCAACTGTTATTTTTTTTTATCTTTATCAGTCTGGATAATCTGCCGAAAAACCAGTTTATTGCTCGCATAAACTACAGTTAGTATAAACTCGAACGAAACAGTAAATAGGTCGGCTAGCAACAGCCTCTAATATCTAATCAATGCAAAAATATCTTCTAGTTTAATTCTAGCTGGTGTTGTTATAATTTTGTCATTCAACCAATAGTGACAATTGGATTAAACGAACTTTTTTATATAAATTTTAACGTGGTGTAATGGGGCAGTTGTCTCGTTACCTGACTAAATTACAAAGAGTACTCGCTAGGTTGAGCTACATATTCATTTATGCCAGTGATGGCATTTACGAATTTTTAAATGTTACTTCAATATATCGTCGAAAGAGAAAATTACCACAAAAATGATATTTAAATATTTTAAATTATGTGATTTGTTGCCTTTAAGTAGAACAACAATTAGAGTTGGGTAATCTAGCTTGAGGAATCACTAAAGTTGATACTAACGTAAGAGACACAAACAGCTGGTCTTGCAGAAGCAGTGAAAGTGCTTAAAGTTGATTAAATCAGATGTTACAAAATTGGGACCACGGACCCTTGGAGCCACAAGAAAGTGCTAGAGGGAATTGATAAGTTACTGAGTATCTATAGATTCATTGGGTGGTGGGCCTTAGCCAAGATGTGGAATGTTCTGTAGGGGGCTTTCTGCTGAGACATGTTGAACCCATGGATTACGTTATTGCTTCAATAATAAACGTGCCTCTGGTCTGAAGCACCTCCACTGTAGTATGGTTGCAACATAATGCAGGAATCAAGGAGAGTATTCAACGTGAGTTTGGTCGTTTATGAGTATGTTTAAAATCCACTAGTAAAACAAACACAAAACTGAACTTAGGGTACACACGAATCATCGTCATGAACATGCAGAACTTTCTGCACAGCAATACATTGACTCGGACATTATTCCGAACTTCTTCCGAGTGTTATCGACAAGGAAGGGTGTAAATGGAACAGTGACCTTATTAAAATGGTAAAGGGTTTTTGTTTGTTTGTTGTTTTGAATTTTTGCGCAAAGCTACACGAGGGCTATCTGTGCTAGCCGTCCCTAATTTAGCAGTGATAGCCTAGAGGGAAGGCAGCTAGTCATCACCACCCACCGCCAACTCTTGGGCTACTATTTTACCAACGAATAATGGGATTGACCGTCACTTTATAATGCACCCACGGCTGAAAGGGGGAGCATGTTTGGTGTGACGGGGATTCAAACCCGCAACCCTCAGATTGCGAGTCTAAAGCCCTAACCACCTGGCCATGCCAAGCCTGGTAAATGATTCGTTTGTTAATGACCCAAAGCTACACAATGAACTATCTGTGCTCTGTTCACCGCAGGTATCGAAGCCCGAATTTTAGCAGGTATTTAGTCAGCAAAATTGTTTTAGAAATGTTGCAGAAGGGTGTAATAACTTTATATAAATGTGTTTGAAGCATTTTAATTATACTCTTCATAAAATATAGAAAAAAACATCGTCAAAACAATTTTCTTATCGCCAATTTACTCAGCATTATCATCAAACTCGTCTTCTAACAGAAAATGAACCTGACATAGCCTCGTGATTGGATAGTCGACTCGCAATCTGCGGGTCGCAAGTTCGAATCCATTCACCGAACATGTTAGCCCTTTCAGCCGTGATGGCGTTTCAGTATAACATTCAATACAAATATTCTTTGGTAAAGAGTTGGCAGTGAGTGATGTTAATTAGCAGCCTATCAATTAGGGACGGCTAGCGCAGATAGCCTTTGACTAGCTGTGCGCGAAATTCAATAAACAAACAAAAATCGAAAGAAAAAAAAAACAAGTAATGAAAATGCTAACTTCCTGTTCACCTACTGCAAAAGAACATCGAGAACAACTCTGAACGGGTGAAACGAATATGTTTTACCTTATATTCGTTGCTTGCATCCCATGGCACTTCAAACTGCAAGCTTAACACGTTTGTCAACAAGATTGGGAGACAAATACGAGTTCTCATGCTTTTTCACCAGGTGGTAATACAATAAAATTGCATTTAATACTGGAAACTTGTTGAAGGTGACAGAACAAAAGAAGGATGTTTACTTAAAACAACTGTAATTTGTAAAAATATTGTAAATGCAAGATATGTATTAGCAAGACAACAAGTATTCAATTTAATTTTTTATGTACCACTACAGAGAGCTAAATTTACTTACAAAAGCAGCACTTTCGCTAACAAGTATGTCCACGAACACATACATTTTTCTTAGATACAAATAGAAAAGTAAAAATATTCCTAGTCAAAGATTTATGGGGTACGTTATATAAAAAAAATGGTCAAATCCCACTATTTATAATAGAGTAACCCAAAACTTGGCAATGAGTGCTGTTAACCAACTGCCTTTTCTCTAGCTTATCAGTCCAAAATTAGGGATGGCTAGTGTAAATAACTCTTTGTGTAGTTTTGTACGAACTTCTGAGACAAACAAACAAGCATGAGATGCTACTGTAATCGAATAGTGGTATTTTACTATCACTCTTATACCCACAACCGAAAAGTGCGGAGCGCGATTTTGCTGCAAAGGGACGTAAACCATTGACCCTCGGATTCATAGGCCGACACACTATCCACTAGGCCACGCCCTGGTCGACAGACTTAGTAATAATACTCTCATTTACATAGTTCTTGACAGGTTCTATTGGACACAGCGCGACAAACAACAGTACATTTTAGACAGTGGAAATTAAGAAAATCTTGGAGATTATTTATAAATCAAGCAAACGTCTCTCTCTTACATCCTGTTTTATTATAATAGATCCAATTTAAACAGATATAATACAGAAACTAGTTTTGCTCTTTATAAAAATTCAAAGTATCCGGCGGATAAAACAATATTCTTAACTGATCCAGATCTATCATAACAAAGATGTTTCCGCTTTCTTTAGCTAGGAACCAGAGCTCTTTGAGACTTATGAATCAGTGAGTATCTCTATAGGACAATGAAGTATTTTCAGTCACTTACAGAAGTTTCGGTTATTTCTAATATTTTAGAATGACAGTGGTCTCACCATTTTATGAATCATATTTAGTATTTGTGCTTTATTGCCATTTTCAAACAACACGAAACAGTCTCAATAACTTTAACACAATACTTTTCCTTTATAAACATTTATAATTTTACTCAGGTTCAGTGATATAAGCGCATTGTGTTTAATTAACAGTTTAAAATACATATGATGACGTCCACTCGTTATAATTATTTGCATTTATTACAGGTTTTCACGTAACCCCAAAGATCCACCTCATTTGTCCGGAGAGCTGTCTGCTTATTGTTGTAGGTGTCCTTATTGGCCTACTTCTGTTCTACACAGGCTTTCACAGCGTGGAACACCTCACTCCAGATGTCTTCTTCCTTTATATGCTTCCGCCTATCATTCTGGACGCTGGCTACTTCATGCCCAACCGACTTTTTTTTGACAATATGATTTCCATTCTTATTTATGCCGTGGTAGGAACAGTATGGAATGCTTTGACCATCGGGTTATCTCTGTGGGCTATTGGTTTGACTGGTCTATACGGGGTGGAGCTCCCTCTATTGGACACTCTTTTGTTCAGTTCGATAGTCTCGGCTGTGGATCCTGTAGCGGTCTTAGCAGTTTTTGAAGAAATCCAGGTGAATGAAGTGCTGAACATTTTGGTGTTTGGAGAATCTTTATTGAATGACGCAGTCACAGTGGTGAGTAATCACTTCAAGGTGTTGTGATAATTCGGGAGGCGCTACATTATGAAATTACTTAACTTTGCAAACACTAATTTTTATTTCTCCAGAAGACATGGTGTTTTTCATCTAAATAGGTCAACGACTGATAATACGAGTTCAATAATAACAAATAATAAGAAAACGAGCTCCTGAGTATCAGTTACGTGCACAAAATGTTTTATTACTAGGTTGTTTCAAAACTCAAAAGAGGTAATTTTTTTCAGATACTATAAAATAATAAAATATTTTGACATTCTTGCGATGTTGTCTTTAAAAATGGAGGTAAAATTCACAAATAAAACAGGTTTTCACTTTGTTCAAAAATGTATTGTGCGTGATGAAAACCCGTTTTATGTGTACATGTGATTTATGAAACAAGTACATTTGTTTCGAGCTAAAAACATTCCATTAGAGTTTGTTGGGGGAAAAAAAGAGAGTATTTGAAAATCATAATATTTTTTTTATTTAGGTTTTATATCACATGTTCGAGGGATACACTGAAATGGGGCAAGAAAATCTCATTACCATCGATTACATCGCTGGAGTTGCTTCTTTTTTCGTGGCAGCGCTAGGTGGAGCTCTCATCGGAATCATTTGGGGTGTACTGGCCGCATTCATCTCCCGGTTTTCTCATCACGTGAGGATCATCGAGCCTCTGTTTGTCTTTGTTTTGGCCTATCTGGCTTACTTGAATGCTGAGTTGTTTCACCTTTCTGGAATTGTGGCGTGAGTATTCCCATCAGAATTGTACACATTTTCTTGGTCAGTTTATAATGCAAAACATTCGAAAGTTCAGACCGGGGGATACATCTAATATCAGGTTAACATTTAATGTAAATTTATTGGACTAAATATCTGAAAAGAATAGTAAAGTCGGTTTATACCATTTACTTGACATATTCATCTTTGCTTTCACTCATCATTTTTTTTAGAATTTCAACATTGAAATAGTAATGAAAAAGACAAGCTGGAATAAGGTTAGTTTAGAATAGCAAACTTAAAAAAAAACAGGAATTATTTTCAGACGTTTACATGCATTCAAAAAATTCATATGATGTTTAGTTTTATAGTTCTTTCCCCTAAAAAGTGCTACTACCTTTTAGTTCAACCTGAAGTTGGTTTTTAATAAAAAATATGCTGACAATCTTTTTACAATATTTAAATCCCACATTGAGAAATCACTCCGAACACAACTAGTATTCGTGAAAAATAACGGGTTTTTTCTACCACCACACCAAAGAATTTCAGTAAGCACCTTTACGTTTCTGGGTTGTTTTCTTGAACAACGCCTTTATATAAGGGTATTATTTTCATAATCTGTTTAGTGCATAGCGGTATGTCTGCGGACTTCCAACGCTAGAAGCGGGTTTCGATACCAGTGGTGGGTAGAGCCTATTGTGTAGCTTTGTGCATAAATTCAAAGAAACAAAACATAAGAATGTTCGTCACACATACACTAAAAGACAAATTAAATCACTGAACCTAGTAATGATACTGAGAATCGAATAAAGTAATTTTCTAAATAATTATTGCTTCGTTTATAGAGTAAGCAACAACCAAATTATTATAACAGAATTAAAACTGAAAAATATTTAGCATTTACATGCAGTTTATAGTATTTCCTATTCAAATCAAGAGCGCAATAAATAACAACTAAACGAGCTTTGAAAAAGTTTTATAACAATTATCGCGTTTTCTGAAAACAGATTGTAACTATAAACTTATGAAAGATACGATTCTTATTTTGTTTGGGCATTTTATCCATTTCTTGATTAGTTTGAAGTAATACAAAATTAAACCTTGAACGACAATGGTTTTTATTTTTCCTGTCTTTAAAACATTTTTATTCTACCGAGTTTTGGCAGAGTAATTTATTTTTGTACCATTATGTACCATTGATATTCCGTACCAGTCCGTCCCCCAGTGGAACAGCGGGAAGTTTATGGACTTACAATGGTAAAATCCGGAATTCGTTTCCCTGCAGTGAACAAAGCAGATAACCCAATGTGGTTTTGTTCCAAAAACAAACACCATAGCATTCCGTTCCAGTAGCTCTAGACACTCGGACAAATCGTTGCTTAAGAAGTCGAGTAGGTTTTATCGAAATAATAATACAAGTTATTTTTATACCAGTCAAGGTTACAGGCAGATATAATTCATGAAATATATAAATCTTATGTATTTTATAATATACATCATCTATCATGGAATGCATACAATACACACTAAAGCCAACCTTTTCGGCAGTTGTGCCAATTTTAGGTTTTGAATTTTAGATAAATTGTCAATATATGACCCGATAAAGCGTTCGAAACCCAGGTCCATAAGAATAGGGATGGAGGGGAATTCAAGCAGTAAAATTAATAGGTATTATAAAAATAATACAACGCCGATTTTAATCACATTTCAAGCCTGTGCGTAAATTTCAAATACAATTTGTGAAATGTGCCAAAACGTGATATTTTCTAAATGTTGCCGGTTAGTCATCCCGGCACTAAAAAGCCTTTAACGTTGCTCAGTCATTTATACTATCCTATATCAATTAACTTTTATGTGAATTTATTTGTTTATCCTCGAGCTCCTCCCACGGTTTTGGAGTAGCAAGACCAAACTTGGCATGCGGTCTCAGGGTGGTCTGGAGTTGTTCTATTCTATGTGGACTAGGAATACCTCTACCAAGGAAGTTCCGGACACGGATCCCTCCCCTTGGGGTGACTCTAGAAGTAATTTTAGATATTGGAGAAACTTGATCGGTACATTGAGGCCTCTGTTAATCAAAAGGGTGCTTTTGAAATCCACAGCGGAGAGCGGCTATCTTACGTTAGTTAGTTTAAATAGCTCTGCTTGCTATATATGCATTTGGAGGCTGTATTTGGTGCTAATTTATACAATGTCTTAAAACTTATTGTTGTTCTTTTTTCAATAGTTGGAATTTTACCCTTGAAAATTCTGTAATGAAACGCAAGAATAAAATGAAAGTTAAAATAACACTTAGTTCCGGCTAATCTGATCATCTCAAAATAAAAGTATATTTTTTGATAATTAGATATAATAATTCAAAACAAAAAATTATTATCATATAATGAGGATGTTTCATGTTTTTTCTCATATTAAAGAAGGTTAAGTGTCCATTATAAGAAAGATTTGCATGTTCTAGTACATTGTCGTGACTTCACGGGCAACATTTTAGCATGTACGTATTGTTCACGGGCAACATTTTAGCATGTACGTATTGTTCACGGGCGAATTCACGACCGTTCGACACAGAGTCGGCCTAAATAAAATTGTGCCCCTGCCCCTGTAAAATTGACAAGAACTGCGAATTGCAATATCTATTTTGGCGCCCCTGGATCGACTGCGCAATGCTGTCGCGGATAACTTATGGCTGACCTTGACTTCTTCGCAGAAGTTTGTTACAATGGAAATTGCGGTGTCGAGAAATAGTGCGTAATTATGTTCTTCTGACAGGCACGATCGACGATGCGGGAAGTTTCACAGACAACACGAGCCGTGGAACGTTGTTTTTATAAATCGCTCTTATCCCTCAGTAGTAACCCCCTATCGCGTGAACATGATATTTCAGTAATTTCTGTTAAAACTAAACTTTTTTCACAAACAAGCGCATGTTAGAAAGTGAAATAAACAGAAACTATGCAGTTTGTTTGAACTTTTTTTTTTACACAATTCACACAAGTTGAATTGATTTTTTTTCACTCTCTATTTATAATATATTAAAAATCTTGGCTATTTACGCTGTAAGTATAAGGATATTTAGTTTTTCATTCATATAACAGTTTTCCTTTTGTTAAGGCTCCCCAGTACTCAGCGGCAAGTCTCAAGGCTTATAACGCTGAAAACCGGATTTCGATATCCACGGTGGGCACAGCACAGATTGCCCGTTGTGTGTAGCTTTGCGCTTAACAACAACCAAACTAAACCTTTTCTTAGTCATTTACTGTGTTCAGAACTTTCATTAAACAGTCACCTATTTCCGCAGTCTGGCTTTCTGTGGTATTACAATGAAGAACTACGTAGAAGAAAACATATCCTACAAGTCCCACGTGACTGTCAAGTACACCATGAAGATGCTGGCAAGTTCCTCGGAAACAATTATATTTTTGTTTTTGGGTGTTTCTACTGTAAACGACGATCACGAGTGGAACACATGGTTTGTTGTAATGACCATTTTGTTCTGTACACTATATCGGGCGATCGGTAAGTTCATTTAGGTTTAAAGTTGTTTCGTGTAACATATTAAACTATGAATTACCTTAAAGATTCATTAGCTTCTAGTTTGTATCGAGTAACCAGGTGTGAGTGCGGGGTGTCATTGGTATATATTCAAGTTGCAAAGTTTTTATAACTTTTACTGATAACACTTACAGGCTCAAGATGTCACAATGTATAAGATTCATTAAAATAGTCTAGTGGCAAATTGGATTTGTTAAGAAAAAAAGAATCAAGAATTCGTATCCACAGAATAATACCTAAAAGTAGTTCATATAAAGCCCCCCAGTGGCACAGCGGTATGTCTGCGGACTTATAACGATTAGAATCCGGATTTCGATACCCGTGGTGGGCAGAGCACAGATAGCCCATTGTGTAGCTTTGTGCTTAATTACAAACAAACAAACAGTTCATATAAAACTGTTTTTGTTCATTTAGCAAGCTTTCATTTCTTACTGTTCAATCGTAACTGTGTTTCATTGTTGTTGTTTAAATTGGTTACTTCATTAAAAGTTTTACTCATTTTTTTTTCTAATAACTTCCTTCTCAATGAAAGTTTATAGAACCGCTCATAATTATAGTGATTTCAACCATTTTTGTTAGGCTTAAAAAGCATCCTTGCTTTAATACCTGTGGCATGTTACAACACTGATTTACTTCCTTGTAAATGTTTTTAAGTAGCGCTTTAGCTGCCACAGGTCCAGCACAATTGACGAATTTTGTAATTGAGCAGAATGACTATTGACATTGATTTGTTACAGTCAAAATAAATTTTGAAAACTATTTTTACACGCATTGAACTTAGAACACAAACATAAAATAAATAAGTGAATTCTTGAATCACATTTTGAAAATATTTAGATGGCATATCACAAGGGCTTACACGTCCAATATTAACATTAACATTTTTTTCTGAAAATATGGCTTTAAATATTCTGAGTTAACGCAACTGTTTTTAATATAGAAAATAACTATATTCTGGAGATTAAACTCGAAAAACTAAATAAAGTATTACTGTTAAAAGTGTTAATAAATATTGAAAAATTCCAACTGCTTATGAATCAGGACACAACACATCCAACACGGTTCATACAATGACGCATAAAGCAAACATGTATTAACTCAGGACAAACCTGTCTTAAAACAGACGTTTTAAACATACAAAAAAATGGTTGACTTACATGGTGTTCTCAACAAGGGTAGTTAAAAAATTGTTGTTAGCATTTAAACCGATCGTATCACTTTCTGGTTATTTATCATTAGGTTTAAATTAGATAAGTAGTTAGGAAAACATTGGACGAAAATGTGTATCATGCTCGTACAAGACAATTTTCTTCTGCATGATGAGAACATCGTATATTAATTGAACTTTGTATCTAATAAATACAGATAACATATATTATTCAATACAAATTATTAATATAATTAACGTTTTAGAAATGTAAATTCCTAGAGTTTGGAGAAACGAAGAGTGTAAGTCTTATTTTCCCTTTGACAATGTGATAAGACAGCCAAATCACTTGATGAAACACTATAGGCAGCTAATAATACCAAATCCCCCCACCCCAGTGGCACAGTGGTATGTCTGCGGACTTCCAACGCTAAAATTTGGGTTTCGATACGCGTGGTGAGTAGAGCACAGATAGCCCATTGCGTAGTTTTGTGCTTGATTACAAACACCAAATCGCGTTATGTATCTCTACAGTAATTCCTTCTTAGAAGGAAGTTTGTAGTAAACAGGTATGTCTGTAAGTTCTTTATTTAACAACACCATAATAACCATACAGAAATTTTGAAGACTTTCACGTTAACGGAATTGTATGAATAAATATGTGATATTTTCGAGTAAATCCAAGGCATACCCGTGGGAGTAATTTGAGCCCACAAGGTGCCGAATTTTATATACTTTAAATATAATTTTCTTTCGCAATAAAGCTTCACATTTTAGTCATTCCTCTAGCTATAGGGACAATATTATTTTGCTGAATTTTGTAGGTTTTACACTACTAAAATTACATGATTTATTCGTCAGAATTCACCCTTGGAAAAATTCGTTTACTGCAAAACATGCATATTACTTGAACTTAAGTAAAAGTATCGTTAACGTAACGTTTTATTTAGATTTTTCAAATAAAGTAAACATCTTAAATTTCGAAGTTGTAAAATCACAACTCATATAGATATAATAGAATTCTTTCAATATTACAGGAATTTATAAACTGTTTAATTTTATTATTCACAAATGAAGTTTCTCCGCATTCTGAACGCGAACTTTTATTAGTGGAAAATTCAATAGTGTACTTGTTGCCATTTATGGGACCTAGAATTTTTCGGAATACTACAACCTTTCCAAAAGTATCATAACTACAATTATCATTTACTCACGTGTTACTTAATTAATCATATTTTTAATTCATTAAGGAAATAATAAACAATTTTATTGTTGATTAGTATCACTTTTTTGTTATCTGTTGTAAGTTACATGACATTTCACTATTACATTATTTTGGTTACTTTAATTACGTGTGTTATATGTTTAATGCACTGAACCTTTATTTTATTGTTATTAGATATATTCGTATACACGATTTTATCAAGTTTTTTAGGGCTTGACTTTCTATAATTTCATGTTACCAATTCTACTGCTAAACAGTTTCGTAAGTAGTGAGACACCATCAAAAACTGATGGCTTGTGATGTCCATTTAATAAAAATTACATAGACGGTGTCGAAAAATCGGTTTTCTTTGGTGACTCGTCGTTATTTGAATTTTATTGGTCAACTGTCATACAAAGGGTGTAAAAGTATTATGGTGGGCCACGTAACAATTGTCTGCTATTATGAATTTTCTTTAAAAACATTTCTTAATTTGGTGTTCGTGAACTATGTTGTATATTACAGTGTGAAACTGATGCTTAACTTTAAATTTTACTGGTGGATAAATAAGGGTAAGTTTACGGATTCGAATCCTCGCGATGAACAGAGCGTAAATATTCAAGCATGTAGTTTTACTCTTAAAACAAACTAATAAACTATACTGTTAAAATACTCTAATTATAAATTAGTTTTTGTGTAATAGTGAGTAGACTGTATTAAATATGTTTGAAACAAGATCTCTAATCTTTCGTTTTTTGGTGGTTAGAGCGCTCGACTCTCAATCTGCAGGTCGCAGGTTCTAATCCCCGTCGCTGAACGTGTTCGTCTTATTAGCTGTGGGACTTATCATGTCCGGTCTATCCCACTATTCGTTGGCAAAAGAAGAGCCTAAAAGTTGGCGGTGGGTGATGTCGACTAGCTGCTTTCCCTCTAGTCTAGCATTACTAAAATAGGGACGGTTAGCGCAGATAGGCGTTACTACCTTTGCGCGAAATTGAAACAAACACATTTTTATTTTTTTATTTGCTTTATGTATTAAAATGGGACTTAACAGTTTGTTGAAAGGAAGAAAATATTTTTAAAGTTTATTCTAAGAGAAACTAGCTACTAATCAATAGTATCATTCGCTTAAAACACTTAATTTCGAATTACTTATTTAACAACAATATATGGAACTCTATAGGTTGTGAATTTTATAATGTTTTATTGCCGTGTTTTTCAGGTGTAATAATACAAACTTGGTTTCTAAATCGTTTTCGACTGCATAAAATTAACAAAGTTGAACAGTTTATAATGGCGTACGGTGGTCTTCGAGGTGCTGTTGCCTTTGCCTTGGTCCTCGTCATCTCTGAAAATGTCATTCCCACTAAAGCTATGATGGTCACAACAGTAATCGCAGAAGTGTATTTCACCGTCTTTATTCAGGCAAGTATTCTTGAAGAAGAATTTACCTAGCAGTTGAGTAAGTTATATTAATATGATATTGAATATGTAACTCAGAAAGTCACATGGTTGTCACTATAAAGTCTAGCTGAAAAGGCGTGTATCATCTTGTAATAGGGAGAAACTTTGAACACAAAGCCTTCCACGGGACCAAGACAACAGTACGCAGAATAATCAAGAATGATCTCCCTCTGGAAAAGCAACAAAAGTCACGTTTACACAATTTACTTTCACGGCATATATGTTCAACCGTTGCATACCTCAAGTAGGTAGAGAAAAAACAGATATTCATGTTATTTCATGCAAAGACATATTGGCCATGTCGCCAGACGCAGCACCTACAGATTTTTATGTAATCGTTCTATTAAAATTGGGAAACCTTGGTTTTTTTTCACTAGATGGATTATGGTAATCTAGCAGGGCGGAGTTGTGTGCTTTGACCGTGACAGCCTTACGTCGGAGCCTTTAGTAACTGAAACTACGCTATATACTATTGTCAAATTGCACGGTCGTCAGATAGAGCATGACCGGACGTGACGACATAGACTGTAACGACGTGGTGGTGCTCTAGAATAATTTTAATATAACATACTAATCTCTGTATTCCTTGTATAGAGCGCCTATTTATGTAATCAACGTGGTACTGCTCCTGAAAATTATATGACGTAAGGTTTGAGAAGTTTACTATATATATCTAAACGTGATTAAAACACTTTCTGTTTAAATATTATATTGAAATCCATCTTAAAATCGTTAATCGTTAGTTACACTCTGATAGCTACATTATTTAGACTAAATCTCAGTTTGGTAGGAACAAGAATGTCACAAAAAAAATATTAATGTTGTGCATCAGAGCAGGAATGTGTAGTTCTATGATAATGTGAGGCAGTATCAAAGTCATTGAAAGGCTCTTCACTAAATCAGAAAGCTAAAAATAAAATTATACTTAGATCCTTCAGTTAGCAACATAATCAGAATATTGATAACATATAGCCAGCTGTCTTAGTGTATGCACTTAAAAAACATATGATACTGTCAGTGCCAAGCCAATATTTATTGCTATAAAATAATCACATATTACTTCCGGGTATGAAAAGAAACAACTGAAGGGGTAATACCAGAACTTAAACAATGGCTTTTTTATAAGATTAACGTGTAACACAGTTACTATATAAAGTGCTGAAATCAATAATATTCTTAATTTATTTAAACAAGTCTTTCCGTATATTGTTGTCGATATATAGCTTTATCTGCGAGATCTTAAGTATTAAAGGTGGCGTCATCTGTTGGGAAAAGTATATTGAAATAATGTTATATTATTTGTAATGTATTTGAAGTAGCGCAATAACCTGTAGAGAAGTTAACATGAAATTAAATAATTTTTACTATGCAAACAAGCAGCTTATCGTTCTATATTTATTCACGAATAATATCTTATTTAGATAGTGTTCTTGTTTTTAACAGGGAATGACAATCGGGCCTCTTGTAAGAATATTAAATGTGTCAACTAGTCAGAAAACCAAACTCTCCATGAACGAAAGACTACATACAAGAGTAAGTATTCGTATTTAAATGGATATGAAACCGGATTTAGTATATATCACTGAGCGCAAGTATAGGCAAAACCAACTCGTTTCGTTTTCCAAATACTTGAAAGTTTCTATAGTTTCTATGTTCTTTATTATCGTCAGGGTTTATTTTAAGGAAATTTTAGAACTGCACAAATCTTTGAGCCAGATGCCTTGACCTAGTGTTTGAGATTATCTGAGTCTGAGAAGCATTTGTTTTTAGATTATATTCTAGATACAACTTGGCATTATTTGCAAATCTTGAATTTATGAAAGTTTTACTGTTTTAGCCATCTTTTACCATGTAGTGTTTGACATAAAATGTAAATTAAAGTACAATTCAGCACAGTTTTGGATTTACGAGTGTTTTAAGTCTTTTAACCATTCTTTACCATGTAAGCTCATGTAGTACTGTAGTATTTGACACAAAATGTAAACTAAAGTACTATTCAACATATGTAAGACTAAAAATATATTTCTTGTCATATAAACACAGTGTTTTAAGTTTTAACCATCTTAGTATTTGACAAAAATTTTAAAACAAAGTTCTAATCAGCATATGCAAAATTAAAAATATACTTCTTGTCACATAAACAGTAAATAAAGGTACTTTTGCTTTTCAGTATCATGGTCATGCATTGCCTTCTTGTTTCTTTATATGACATTGGAGTTATTATTATAAATTTTAGTACTGCACAAGTATGGGTCTACTGCACGTTAAAATAAACCATGAATTTATCGTTACACGAGCAGTTTGATTGACAAACAAACTAAAGATGAATTATCTACAGATTTTTAGGTTAATATAATTAACGCCAATGTCTCAATCGAAGTGTGGCCCACAGTAGATTAACGGTAAGTTTAGGCCCACAGTGTATTAACGGAAAGTTTAGCCCCATAGTGGGTTAACGGTAAGTTTAAGAACTTACAATGCTGAATTCAGGGATTCGATTCCTCATAGTGGAAAGAGTCCTAATAGCTTATTAGGAGATGGGCTAGAAACATAAATATTCCCTATATATTCTAAATGTACATCATGTGAGTATTATAAATCCATTTTTCTGGCAGTTTTTAATTACAAAAAAAGTAAAAACTTGGTTTTTGTCATACGCTACAGCCACATTTTATTTACCGAGTTTTAAACACGTACATTGACACAACTTCGTTTCAATACTGTTTTGAATAACTCCAGATGGTTAAGACACGATTAAGCAGAAAAGGTTTTTTGTTGTTTTTTAATGGCAAGGATTTGCTGGTAGACCAAAAACAAAACAGTCGTAGCAGTTTTAGGATATTAGTAGACATATATCATTAAACATAGATTTTTCCGCAAGTCTAAAAAGCGATGATACATTAACGTGAATTATTTATTGTTGACGTGTCTACTCATGATTGTATGTAAGAACTATTTACGCATATGCTTATTTTTCCGTGATTTAATTTGGAAAACGTCTATAATTATGTCAACTACATAAGTTTAAAGTTTATCAGTACATTTTAGACTGTACTGTCGATCAATGAAATTATATATTTTAACCACAAGTGTTTTCTCTGTTCCGACAGTATTACTCTCTAGAATTTAATAAATACTGAATTACATAATATATTTTTATGAAAAACACATATTTCAGTGTTCATAATATCTTAAACACCAAATAAAATTTTAAAAAGATAGGTGTAGTAATTAGGCCTTGCTAGTTAACGTTTACACGTAGTTTTGTCCACACAATTGAAGATATGTAGTAAGTGTACTGTTTTCCAAACCCTTGTTGCACATATGAGTGAAGATTTTATCAAAGTACACTGTTTCAGACAATCATAGTCCGCTTCTCCTCATAAATCTGGTTAATGTCAATATGATTGTTAAAATCTTCCTCCAGATTATCAGCAGCAGTACTGGTTGTTTGTAATAAAATGTCAATCAATTCTGGTGGTAGGATGTAGCCTTCAGTCCTGTCATGCACAAGATTGTTACTGCCATCAACGGCCCAACCGTCTTCGTCTGGATGTGGGATGTCAAAGTATGCTATGTCAGCGGCTTTTCAAGTGAACGTCTGATAATTCGCCCGAAGAATATGCATTTCTAGTGAAAATCTATAAGGTGGCAGCAAACTGATGTCTACTCCATTAACATGTGAGAGTGGCTTACCAGACTTGAGTTGGAATGTCTGTGCGTAGCTTGTTGATGTCGGAGTATTTCCAAACAAATCTCTCTAGTTGTACTTGAGTTTCATCTAAATCATTCCCTAAAGCTTTGGATACAGGAATAAACTCGGGATATTTTTTCAATATTTTATTTTCCTTTGACGGACAAACACACTGGTGGTGTCACATCCTGAGAACGTGCGTAATGCAAGCAATGCTTTAGATACATATGTGCCGTGATTCTGTGTTACTGATTTAACACTGAGTAGTCGCATCTTATTTCCAGTTCCACTCTCAAACAAAACAGTATGTTCAATGTACTGTACAAACGAAAGCAATAAGATGAAGACAGCGGTATCTGGTGGCCGAACTATCTGAAGTTTCTCTTGAAGCGTGAAGCAGTTGTAATACCATTCGGTATCAGATTCTTCCTGAGCGCTCTTATTACATAATGGTCACATATTCTCCATCCACGGTCTATATACGCTTACACTCCTTACCACAGGTAAAGATAATGTGATGCACAGTCTATATACCCTTACACTCCTTACCACAGGTAAAGATAATGTGATGCACAGTCTATATACCCTTACACTCCTTACCATAGGTAAAGATAATGTGATGTCCTTTATCTTCTCTCCAAACTTATCCTTTGTCCAATCTACAAACATTAACTTGGTGAGTTGTTCTTTATTTTTATTGTTATACATAAATGCTTTCCAGGCTCTGGGATTTTTTGTGTTGGGACGTTTTACTAAGAATGTCTCTGTAACCCCTCTCCCGTTTCTCTCTGGAGCCTTTACTGAGTTTTCTTTGTACGTATCAGTGACAAAGTCAACTCTTTCAACTGTCGGCACGACATCAGATACTTTCTCTTAAGAAAGGCAACTTCTGAGAGAGATCTTATGATACTGTCAGTTCTAATTCTATTGTAATGGATGGTGCATATTCGTTTGTTAACTGACTATTTTTGACTCTTGCTTGATTTCGGCTTTGAAGGCTTTAGTTTAACTGGAGAATAAGGACTCATACTTACATTTCAAGCCTGAAACGGGAAGAAAGTATGTGAGTGTTATTTCCAAAAACAATCCTTGAATGTTTTTCACATAAACCATTTGTAGTGAAAGTGGGGCCTGTGTATGCTTTAAATTTCTCGCAGAAAAACATTAAATGGGTTGATATTTGAAGTATGTTCAATCTTAAATAATTCAAAAAGGGGTTATTACGTACTGAACTTAAACGATAAGGTTAAACACTGAGAATATAAAATGTTCTCTACGTAGCACCTAAATTTGGTCATCTTTTACCATAAAAAATACTCTAATGTGCTTTACAGCTCTTGCATAGAAATATCGGTTTCATATTATTCCAACAAACAGACATTCCCTATAATTTGTTCCTTTACATAAAACGTTATACTATCACATTTAGAAGGTCATACTATCACATTTTATAGCCCTTCCAAAACCTGCAAAATTTTTTGACAAATTGTTGGTGTTTCAACTTTTAGTAGCAAAAGTATTACCCATACCATCCTTATTCATTGATATGTGCTTGTGAATCTGATGCTGTGTAAATATCGTTGTTTGTCAATACTTTCGCTGCAATTGTATTCTGTCAGAAAGTAGATTTCTTTTTCCTTATATTGGGCTATGAAAATATACAGGTTCTGAAAATTCCCATTAGGGGAGAGGGAGTTAGGCCCACAGTCTATATTGTGTAGCTTTGCGTTAAAACAAACTATCAAAAAATTCCGTCATCATCAGTGCGACCTCTTAACAACCAGTGATTGGAAGCTCCTATGCTAATAGAGATTCCAAGATTCCGGGATAGTATTAATTAACCCTTCATGGAGAAGAATAATGTCTATTTGTTTGTAGTTAAGCACAAAGCTACACAAAGGGCTATCTGTGCTCTATCCACCACGAGTATCCACGGACATACCGCTGTGCCCGGGGGGGGGGGGGGGCAGATGAATGTCACCGATATCCCTGATTGTTCTTTCTTACAATAGCGATACTTAATTAAATTGCATGAAAATTCATCTTAACCAATGCGGTTGGTTGAATACAATTCATTAAAAGCTCATGAAAAGCTGCCTGTGCTCAAATTTAATTAATTGCACTCTGGACACTAAATGCCCTTCTTGCTCAATGACGGTGACGCAATCATATGCACTTACAAAAAGGGATCTGATTCAATAGTTCATAAATAAGATAACCGTTTTAAACAAAGCTACTCTTGTAAATGCTTAAAATTTTACCAGTTTGCTGTGTTTGAATTATTTTTTAATAATTCAAATTAGACAAGGAATGCAGGTAGTTTAATTGCTTTTGATGAAGGCAAAATAGAAAATCAATAAATAAAATATTTAGAATCCTGGGATTTGAGCTCATAACTGCGAGATTGCAACCCTTACCAATAACGGTTTATCTTTCAAATTCTTTTAATCCATGTGCACACATGTGTATATAGAAAAATTCCTAACATACATGGTAAAAAATAAAAAAAGTTACTAGAAAGTGTATCATAGCATTTCTAGATGGCGGCAGCAACCTACAACTATATATTTTTTTCCTTGAACGTACAGTTGTTTTATGTTTGAATCCTCAAATATGCAGATATTATATTTTTTAATTTTTTAGATAGAAAACCTTAACTCGGCTCATTTACTTTACGTTCACGTGACTCAGTCGTTAGCGCTGGACCACAGTAACAACAACAAAGCCAGTACTTCAAACTATAATAATGTCACACAATTGTTTGTACATGGGTTTTAAAAATTTTGGACAGGAGACATCAAAAAAAATGTTTTTGACAAAGACATGCTTAAATGAATAGTAAATATAATGGAAATAATTTTCTTGGCAGGATTTAAGCTATTTATAAATACATGTTACAGATGCTTATCAGAAAAACTTTCATACAGACGTGTGATCATGCTGTACAACAAAACACTACTGGTTCAAGATCTCAACATTCTTGAAATTAAGGTGCGTGTTTATTCAGAAATCATGTGAAGATTGCCACAATCAAACCTTGCTTTGCTTTATCGTCAAGGGATAAAGCTATTCTTTTTTACTTGTTTTCATGAAACCTTATGAACGTCGTAATATTTACTTTCTTTTCTCCATTATTTAATAATAACACTTTTGTTTGTTGCTTCGTCTTAAGGACTCCTATAATAGTATGTTATCCATAATTTTACTATTATACCGCGAGTCATAATTACAGCCTTTTCGTTATTTCTTTTTTGGGGGGCAGTTAATGGACTATCTGATGGCTGGAATAGAGGACATCTCTGGACATCCAATGGGGAACTATCATCTTCGAGACAAGTAAGTAACGAAACGTTTTAATAGTATTTATATTTTAATTAGTCCATGTCAAACAATTTTCTCTTTAGTGATATGAAAGATACAAATATTTATTTTTGCTATCGAATGTTTTATTTCACTTAAATTGCAGTCAATCGTGTTTGTAACTATTGGCTGATACTTGTAATTAACAGGTTTAAATACTACAACAACAAATATATCCGTCCGTTTTTGACTCGAGATCACCATGTGCGAGAACCAAAGATTTTTGAGACTTATTCCAAGCTGAACATAGCGGATGCTATGAACTTAGTTCAAAAGAATGGAAACATGCTACCTACCATGGGAAAAGATATGAAAATGTCCCTTTCAACAGTCTTCCGTTCTTATACACAAACCAGCTTCCCGAAGTAAGTTAAATTTTGTACTTTTTTTTTCTACCAGAATATGCCGTAATATACATTCAACCTTTGTTTTCTGACTATTAAAAACTACTTCACTCTTGTTTTATCCCAAACTCATCAGTGTTTGAGATATTCAAACTATTCTGAACTATTGTAAAGGTATGTACGTAAGACTTTTTATACTCTCTGTTTCTGTAGGCCATTGTCCCGTTCAAATTCAGCTATTCCACATTATGATACCAGCGTTATCAACCTGGACTGGGGCGAGTTGGAATACTCGCCGAGTACAAAAGATTTGAATGATGCAGAACTCCATCACATTCTATCAGACGCCATGTTTAAACCCCCACTAAGGGTAAGAACTTGAATATTATTAGTAGTTTATTATAAAAAAAAATCCGACCTAGAAGAATGTTATTTCCCCAAAAAGGAGGCCGAAGGCCGCCTGGAGTAGTCACCTGTTTTAACCACCCGCACCGTGTTGTGTGTGTTGTCTGTCAGTCAGTAGACACTAAAATGGCATAACATTAGGGACGCACAACGTTGCAATTTATACTGTCGTGACGTCAGTAAAACGAGCGCATGCTATGAATCACGAGAATAATTATGCGTACTGTAGGCTACAACACAGCATGACATCCGAACTTGAAAAGCAAGAAATAAAATTATTTTTTATTCTTAATTTTTGTTTTATTTACTCATGAAACAGAATACTTTCGTGGACCCTGCGGAAGTACACCTAGTCTACCTAAATACCACTAAGTACCAAATATTTTGACATACCACTAATTTGAAAAGTTTTTTTGGTGTACAAAACTTGAAGATAACTTTTATATGCGGAAACATCTGTTAGCTGAGTTCTTGCACAGATCTTAAAATATAACGTTGATAAACGGAAACATGGGCACATGTAGATATGTAAATCTTGAAAGTCGAGTGGTTCAAAACTTGAAAATAGCGTTGATAACTGGACCAATTGTTGGTTGAGATGTTGCAAAAGAAATATCTGCTGAAGCTTTTCGCCAGACACTAACCTTAGCAGAACCGTCAGTAGGCCTGTGACATTTCCTGATTGGCTTAAGGACATGCCAATCAGTGATTGCCTCACCGGCCTACATTGATCTGACTCGTTTATAAG